CATAATACAAAACCCACTAAAAAAGTTTCAAAAAATAATAAAATTGTTTAGACCCCGAACTAAAGTGAAAACAAAAAGTAAAAAGTGAAAAAAAAATGTGGGCGAGCATGTTTTGACACCGCCATCGTTGGCGATTTTTAATTCTTATTTGGCTAAGCCTAAGGACTTGAAAATTGATAGGCATGTACCTCACGTCATAGAGAACTCAAAAAAACAAATTCAGAAAAAAACAATTATTTTTAGGCCCCGAAATAATTTTTGGCGGTGGCCGAACGCCGTCGGGTTCGGACCACGTACGGGACCCCGAACGCCCGAACGTACGGAGGTCCGCCTGGGGGCCTCCGTATGTACGGACTGGTAACCCTGTATATATATATATATATATATATATATATTTAAAAATATATATTTTTCCTGGAAACATCACAATAAGGTCTACGAGCACTCCAAGTTTCAGGTTTCTCCACGCATTGTTCTGAGCGCGAAAAATCACGGATGTTGGGGTACTGTTTTCATTTGTGCCGGATCAGTGCGGCGATTATTTCATGGACTTAATAATGTTTTGGAATTTTTCTGATTTTTCCTAGAAAGACGACGACATAATCTACAGATGCTCAAATTTTCAGATTTTTCTGCGAGTTTCCCTGAGGACAAAAAATTGGCAAATTTGCCTCTTGCACCGGAGACCTATTTTGTTGCACCTTCCCACGTCCTCCCAGCGTTGACCTCCCTCTTTTGAGAAGAAGGGCCTCAACGCCCGGGCCTGAGGGGCCTTTTGCAGTTCACATGCACGGGAGGACCGGTCCTCCAATTTTATTTTGTTACCCGGCCGGTTCTATGAGCGATAGCTGTAGGTAGTCCGCAGTGGACTGTCCCCCAACAACTTTCACCCCGTTAGAACCCACTCGTGAGCCGGTCCCTTGGCTCTGAAAATGTGCCACCTTCACACAGGGCTGCGTATACAGCAGCTTCTGGGCTGCGAATTTACCGCAGATCTTAGGGCTCGGGACTCAGAGAGAGTCGGCGGGAGCAGTTCGCTCTTCGTTGGCTTTTTTCAACCAGCCACTTCCGCTCGTAGTTTGGGAGAGAGATGCACAAGCGCCATCGCGCGCTAATTGGCTTTTCGAACCAGCCACTTCTGCCCTGTAGTTTGGGAAATACACAAAAACCATCGCGCGCGCGCGCGCGAGAGGGAGAGAGAGAGGGAGAGAGAGAGAGAGAGAGAGAGAGAGGCCTAGATTGGGTCATACACAAGCCGTCGCACGCACACGAGAGAGAGAGAGAGAGAGAGAGAGAGAGAGAGAGAATACGCAAA